AAAAAAATTACAAAACTAAACAGCCTACAGTATTTTTACAGTCTTGATTTTACAGTTAAAATACATGTTTATCAAATAAAGTCTAATGTTACAACTAATCAGGGATCCCTTTAAATTTACTCACAAGAAAATAACACAGTGATTAAATAGTTAACAAAAATGGCAACTAAATTGAGGTAAAAATGAAATGTACTTCATCTAAATCAGCTACACTACCAGCTAACATAACAGAGGCGTATCTTTAATGCAACAAAGTGATCTTCCTAGAAAGTTGCCTCGACCTTCCTCCAACCCAAAGTGATAAACACGCAGGTGTGTGTGGATGTGGGAGGTGTTTTGTACACWGACACCTCAGCTCTGTTGACTCTAGGCTCGGTGTGAGTCCGTGGATGCAGAAACACACACGTATACACACACGCAGGGAATGCTGTGGTACCAATGGGAGATTCCAAGGTACTGTGTGAAGTGGAGTGGATGTGAAGGACACCAATCAGGTGAACTCTGTGAGTTTTATTTACTGGACAGGCAGTGAATGCAGTATATATTTATCTTTGTTTAAATACAGTAACAAGAAGTTAAATGAACGTGAGTTTACGTGTGTAGGTTGTGTCGTTTTGCATCAGCTACTGCACTGAACTTACTGCACTTGAGCACGTTTTGTTTTTAGTTAAAATAATAAGGGTAAACTATTATACTTACAGTCGCTCTAGCAGTCTGAGGTCCTGGAAGGCTCCTCTCTCAATGACACTGATTTGGTTGTCCTCCAGATGACTAATATGATGGACACAGACAAGAAAATAATGAGAAAACATCAGCGGCTGTCATCACAGGTGACACCAGAATGTCTTTCGAAATGTTCAATTTAAATTCCTAATTGGAAAGAATTTGCGTAGTCTAAACAGCTGAAAATGAAAAATCTCCCTTTCTAGCCACGCAGGGAACAAGAGAGACACTTGCACTCATTGTATAAACACATAATCAGTGCACCGAACAAATTAATCTGGCGTAAAACAAAAGCTGAAAACATTGATGACAGTCGGCACATAACAAATGTTACAATCGACTAAGCCAAAACAAATAATTAACAACCAACTCTTCAGTGAATTTTTTTCTCCATTTTTCTTCTGGCTTTCATGTGGTCCTCCCAAAATAACACATATTTCTCTCTTTTCTCTTCCCCTTCTCTCTGTGAGTTGTCATCTTATAGAGGCCAACTAAGGTTTTCCAGATGGGACAAATGAAGGAGCAGGAGAACAGCTCAACAAAAGCCTGTGTGTATATTTTCTGTCTGATGATGTTAAAGATCTTCACAAAGGGAGAGAACGGACATAAACTAAACCTACTGATGTAAGTCAGAAGAGGAAMGCAAGAAAAGGTAAAATATGTTAGAAAAGTAGTCAGCGTGACAAAACTGAGTGGGAGAGGTGTGAGAATGAAGACAATGAGATTTAATTAAAAACAGACAGAGTCTTGGCTGAGTTGTAGACGTTTTGTTGAAAGTATGGCAGGACATTGTTACATATAATCACACCACACTCCTGTCAAGATAACTTGTTTTGATACCAGTAAGAGCAGATTTTACTAACATAATTACAAGCTTACAAGTCAGAATTGAAGTTAAGTACTGTATTTCTGAAGTAGGAATTAAAATTATTTTTAAGGTCTCCTCAGATTATAAAAGAAAAGGTTCATTAGAAATACTATAGTATTGCAAACTATATATAGTATGTATATATATTTGTAAAAAAATTGACAGTTTTGACATTCTGAGATTTTAATATTGTTAAATAGTATTCAAAAAAAAGAACAAGCAGCAGCCAAAAATGAAAGGTTTAGAATTCCCTTCTGGAGCGGGAGATCAACAGGCGGATTGGCGTAGCGTCTGCTGTAAAGCGGGCGCTGTACCGGTCCGTCGTGGTGAAGAGAGAGCTGAGTCAGAAAGCGAAGCTCTCGATTTACCGGTCGATCTACGTTCCTACCCTCATCTATGGTCATGAGCTTTGGGTCATGACCGAAAGAACGAGGTCTCGGATACAAGCGGCTGAAATGGGTTTCCTCCGCAGGGTGGCTGGGCTCTCCCTTAGAGATAGGGTGAGAAGCTCGGTCATCCGGGAGGGACTCAGAGTAGAGCCGCTGCTCCTCCACGTCGAGAGGAGCCAGTTGAGGTGGCTCGGGCATCTGGTGAGGATGCCTCCTGGACGCCTCCCTGGTGAGGTATTCCGGGCACGTCCCACCGGGAGGAGGCCCCGAGGAAGACCCAGGACACGCTGGAGGGACTATGTCTCTCGGCTGGCCTGGGAACGCCTTGGAGTTCCCCCGGAGGAGCTGGAAGAAGTGGCTGGGGAGAGGGAGGTCTGGGCCTCCCTTCTGAAGCTGCTGCCCCCGCGACCCGACCCCGGATAGGTGGAAGAAAATGGATGGATGGATGGAAATCCCTTCCCCGCTTTCGTTTTAAGTTTTAAACTAAGATCATCTTATGATTAGAATAGATATATGGATTCTAATTTATCTTTTAAATTTGCACAGTGTTCCGAACAATGCCATTTGTGTCTTTTTGAATGTTTGCACCCCTGTTGGTCCTAGTTTRCTAGAAATCTCGTGTGAACTTATCGACATAGCTGGAAATATCCACCAAGACCTGCTTATTTCCCCCCCAAAATGAAAATGCAACTGATTTCACTTGATGAATGATGCACAGATTCCTTTTCATGCTTTAGCTTTTTTGTTTTTGACACCACGCCACATCCTTCATTTGGCTTCTTCTTGGTGGCAGAAACAGGATAAACACAAATAAAAAATGAAACAAAAAACTGTATAGAAGATGTCATAYGCATGCAGATATGTAGCACCTGTAGCTATCCACCATTAATCATAATTTCCTGTGTGGCCATAATGAATACCTCATGTTTAGTTGTAGCGGCACTTTTTTGATGTTTTTCCCTCAGAAAAGCCAAGAAAAAGCTAGATCAAGACATAACGTTAAATAAGTCTTAAAGTTTATTTGTCCAAATGAGGGATCAACCAAACATTGATTTACTAAATGATGTTTTGAGGACCATGGGATGTTAAGCCAAACACATGGTGCGGGGAGTCGATGCTGGCGTACAGATCTGATGAAGTATTGTTTTCACATTGTTCTTTATCGGCCATTAGTCATCCACAGAGATGAAGAGAGGAGGAGAATAGAGCACACACAAGTTTAGATTTCATGCGTTTGGAGACAGGAGAGCCTAATATTCGTTTTGCTCAGCCATAATGAAAACCACAATGATGTCACCTTTTAGCAAAGTGTGGTAACTTGAGCCCTGAATGAAAACAAGGAAACACATCGAGGTTTATTAACTTCTCCTTAGGTTTACACACAACGAGTGAGACCGCATTCATTTACCTTTTAGCAAACTGTGAAAACTTGATCACTAAATGAAAACAATTAAGGACACACTTCAGGGATTATAAACACTACTCGCAGCTTACTCACAGTGGGTGAGACCTGATAAACTTTGCATTAACTTGAGCATTAACCTCAAGTTTTTCACGTCCAACCAAATTTGTTCAGAATCACTCGATTCTGTCACAGGCTGGAACAGATCTTGCAACACGTGCCTGCCAAAGATATTACCCTAAGTGTTGCGCCTGCAGAGGCAAATTGTGTTTGCAGCAAATGACTCTCCACACTGCTGGACATAAGTAAATGTTTCTGGACAAGCAAGTGATGACAAATGCTTGGCCAGATTGCATTTTGTGGTCTTAATAAGGTACTTTATTGAGATCAGATATAGACATGGAAGGTTTAAAATGTCAACAAATCAGTCCGATTAACATGATTTTATTTTTGTACTCTGCAACCACACCGCATGGTTATGTACCAAMTAATTTAGCATTTTAGATGTTTTTAACGAATTCTTTTAACATGGAAGTATTTCCTAGGATGGCCCTAGAGAGAGAGAGTTGCAACACTCATACTGACTTCCATGGCAAAAATGGAATGCGGAAGTCACGTGGGTCAGGGAGCTGGCGATAGTTGCAAAAAGTAGCAGAACTAGCATTAAACGCAGGTAATTATCTGTGTTTTCAATTTTATTAAATGATTAAAGATTCATTTATTAACGATTTACTTATTGACAATTGACAATTTTATTACTTTAATAGTAATTTTACACAAAATTTAATATTTTTTGTTTTTTGATTTTTTTCACAATGAAGACTGTTATTTTGTCATCTAATATATTCTTAACTTGAAACAGTTTTATTAAAATAAATATTTTAATCAGTGAATTACTAATTCACAATAGCTCTCTGGCTATAAGCACATATGCTCAGTTCATTTGAAAAAACAAAAATGAAATATAGATTTGCTTCAGTCACAGCAGTAAAATTGCTTTATTGTAGGATGTAGATATGAAGGCAAGTTGGAGCAGAGTTCCTAGCTCCTGACATGTAGGTAGGCTTATAGCATTCATGCTAGCATGGTAACACCAGAAAGCTTTAAAGGCACAGCGTGTAGGATTTGTTGTTTTCAGCGACATCTAGTGGTTGAGTGGTTGAATCATCCTCCCTGGTCCTCCCCCCACCCCCAACCCCGCTTCCAAACACAAACGAGTTGCTACGGTGTCTCTCAACCGCGATGTCTACCAGCAGCTTCAGGGCTAGTGATGTTTCAAGTGGTAAGATTATGAGCTTTAATATGTAAAATTATCCCAGCTACAATGACAGACAACAAATATTACATTTATAGTTTCACAACTAAAACCGTTTTTGACGCCGCCACCGCAGTTTGTCCTTCATGAGCCTTCGTAGACAAGATGGTGGTGCAAGATGGCGGCTGCCTGTACTGGCGACCCGCAACCATGGAGATATAAACAGCTTTTAATAAGGTAAAAATAATAAAACAAGGTCTTTGTCTGCAATGATTAGGCATGTTTTTTTTATTATTGTCATTAGTGATTATCTCAATTTCGGCTAAAATAATTGACAAAATCCTACACACTGAGCCTTTAAAATGGGTACTGTTATTCTTGCTTTTATGTGCATAACAATGTTATAAACCATGGTAGACATGCTTATGTTGATCAGGATGTTGTTTTTTATCAATAAATTTGATCTGTAGTCAGTATGTATTTTACCATGCAGTCTCGTTTCCCTCGTTCTGTTCGCTTAAACAGACTGACGGCGCTGCTCTGTTTGGAATTGTTGAGAGCTACATGAACCACGTTACCGTGCATTGACTAGTTCAAAGAGTGTCGGAACTCTCTCTCTCTCTTTAGGGCTCTGGGATTGATAATAAGTAATTACACATTTATTCATAAGTAGAACATTTAAAATGTATCTTTTTTTTCTAATTCTAGAAGAATGCTGTTAAAACTATGAGCAAAGACTTCCCATAGGAAGTATTCCTGTAGCCAAATTGACCCTCGGTCCCCAGTCTGTGTGTAAGGTAGAAACATTGGTCTTGTGAATACCATTAATGCCTTTTTGACTAAAGATAAGGGTAAAAGTTTCCATGTTGCTTTTGTCCGTTCCTTGATCAAAATGAAGAATGGGAGTGTGTGTGAGTGCCTATTTAAGTTTCTGCTTCCTCAGACTATCTCCTCTTTCCCAAGCCATCTCCTCTCAATTTCTTTTAAGAGATTTGGAGTGGGTAAATGTCACAGCAGTTTATCACCAACCACATGAAACAAGCTGCTCACCCGTCACATGCAAACACACGCAGTCTACTTTCCCTTCCCTGGTAGTTCTTGTCCTTATTTTTAAACACAAATCAAACACTAGATGTTTTTTTTTCCAGTATTTATTTAAGCATAGATAAAGTTATGGCTAAATTAACTGAAATTAGTTCCAATATTTGACAAAAACACGATTTAAGTTTAGCAAATGTGAATGCACATTTAGAAAAAGAAAAAAAAACTCATTCCGACTCTTTGGTGTAGTTTGTAACGGGAGTGTATTTTTATCTGTCAGTCTGGTTAAAACTGAGTGAGGAGGGAAGCTGCATGCAGCCAACAGTGATTATAGTCATTTAAACCCTCACACACACACAGGAACGCACACATTTACACAAACACATACACACACACGTTTCAGAGACTTTAAGCAAAAGAGTGAAAGTCAGTGAAGTCAATTAGGACAGCCAAGAGGAGATAAGGAGTTACACTCTGCTGGTTGACGCCATTTAAATGATCAGTGTCTAAAATTTACTTTTTGACTCCCCAGTCAATATTAACAGATTTTTAAAAAGCACCAGCCAAGCACGTTTCATCAATATGACAAACTGCCTTTCTACATTTTGATGAATGTTGTTTTATTTTTCATTAAATGCCATTAAGAGGCATTATATTTAATCTAAACTCAAAACTTCTTAAATACAGGAAGTCTTTAGCTCATAAGATTTGTGTTACTATATTTAAAGATTAAAGATAAAAATTAGCACAATTGTCTTATAAACTTCAAATTATTCATTTTAATCAACTTTGACATCCTTCATCAAGACTTCTTTTACTACCATAATCATCCACAGATTTTTARTCACTCATTTTTTATACAATGTTTTATTGGGAATTATGTACTTTTTTAGGTTTAGATTGTTGGACGAAAATGTCAAGCAGCCGAAAAGAGTTTCCGCCGCAGGGTGTCTGGGCTCTCCCTTAGAGATAGGGTGAGAAGCTCGGTCATCCGGGAAGGACTCAGAGTAGAGCCGCTGCTCCTCCACGTCGAGAGGAGCCAGTTGAGGTGGCTCGGGCATCTGGTTACCCGAACGCCTCCCTGATGAGGTGTTCCGGGCACATCCCACTGGGAGAAGACCTAGAGGAAGACCCAGGACACGGTACAGGGACTACGTTTCTCGGATGGCCTGGGAACACCTTGGGATTTCCCCAGAGGAGCTGGCCCAAGTGGCTGGGGAGAGGGAAGTCTGGGTCTCTCTGCTTAGGCTGCTGCCCCCGCGACCCGACCCCAGATAAGTGGAAGAAAACCGATGGACGGGCAAAGAGCAGCCAAAAGAAAAAAAAACAATACAATCCATTCTTCAATTAACACAAAATTTTGAAAAAAATAAAACATTTCACCTTGGCCTGAACCAATGGATTCAGTTAACACAGCTCATTTCTCAGTCCTCAAAAGCAACACCATTTTGTGAAAAACAGCTGAACTCACCAGTTATGATGCATAAAATTAGTAGTGAGTGGATCATTTACTTTTTAGAGAAAAAAAAGGCCAAAAAATAATCATTTTAAATGGGTATGTGAGTATTTTAAAGGTAAGCTAGTGAAAACAATTTTATGTAAAAAATTTTGTTGAACTTCAAAAGTTGTTTTTTTAAGGCACAATGACTCAAAATTTCAGGCATGCCATTGTCCACARGTTACATTTCATCACGCTGTAACCATTTAGACATCACCTTGTCGTGTCTAGGTATTTTGTGTTATTCTCTGCCTGTTAATGGCATGTTACCTCACAATTATTCCATTACTTAACCTTGTAAATAACCATTAATTATGGAGTTTAACTGCTTGAAGAGGACGCTCACATTCYCTTACCTGTAAGACCTCGTTAAGATGGGAAACTTTATTTTATAGAGACTTGTTTCCCTTATAGGTATATACAGCCCCATTTGGTAAATAAAGCTCTGACATAATTGCTACAGCATGGCAGTGTTTTTTCTTTGTTAATGGCAGCACTTTTATGGATTCGAATATAGGTTACAATGGGGTAATAAAGAGCTCACATAAAATGCAACAACTTTAAAATGACAGCAGAACCTGATTTGTTSAGACTAATTCTGCCCTGTTGAAAAGTTGGAGCTACCAACAAGGACTTAATCTAAACCATCAATGTGTCTTTTAGACACTTTTAGATTTTTTTAAGTTTATATTAATAAAAAAAGATGAAAAACTCACAGAATTCTGAGGTTCTTGAGGCCAGAGAAGTCCACTTTTGTGATTCTAGTGATGTTGTTTCTGTTCAAATCCCTACAAAGAGACAAACATAGAGATTACACATCAGGCTGGCAGTATAGCATCAAGGCTGGTCATCAGTAAAACTGAATTTTTATTGATTCAGCTCAGTGTTGGTAATGCATAGCAAAGCACRTCATGTGACAATCGATTATTTAAAAAGTCTCAAATTAGTCGTGACTACCAAACGAACATTTATCTGTGTGTCTGTTTTCTCACACCCAAACATGTAAATGCAGTACGCCGGAGCGTGAGAATGCCCTACAGCTCCTGAGGCCACACACATATATACAGCACACAAACATACAAACACAACCACAAATCAAAACATGCAAACATTCCTACTGTACAGGCACCATGAACGTTGCCCTTGCTGAACTCGATGTGAAAAGGCAAAATTTCCAGAATGAAAACATGGGGGGGGGKGGGGGGGGTGGGAGACTTTTTTTCTTTCTTTCCATCATCACCGTTTAAAAGCTCATTGTGTTTCCTGGCTGCCATTCAATCTGTTTTAACTCTGGGTGTACAATGTATACATAATGCAATATGAACTGACACCCCGCGTGTGTGTGTATATAGACTGGTTCCTTTTAAATGAGTGCGCTGTTTATTGAAACGCTGTCCCACAGAAGGAATTAGGCAAAGGAAAAAGAAAAACACACACACCGAGTTAGGGTATGAATAACGCCCCCCATTTTCTTTTCCCCTCTTATTTCACACACATTCAGTGCTAACTTTCAGACACATACCCACACATAAACAGAGGAGTCTGGGTTTCTCAGGGCTGTGAGCCTGTGTGTTTTTCATAATGCACCTAAACATTTATAAATCTGATTTAAGACCATATTAGGTTACAAAAGGTCTCCCCATACYGCYGTGGCAAGCGCTGCTAATAAGAGCCATACCATGGACTGAGACTGGGAGGGCTGGTGTWGGACATACCAGCACTTCCTTCAAGCCCAAACTGGGGTCCACGGCCCACCAGGGCGCCCTTGAAAGGATTCTAGTGTAATGCATAGTTTCAATCTCTTATCTGATCCAGTGGGAGGTTACATAAATGACTGTTCTGATTGATGATTCCCACACAGTACTGCAAAGATTCTGAAGGACGCTTATGAGACACAAGCAGGTTCTCCGAATAAAATTCCTTTCAAGTATGATTTAGAGCAACAACAGAAATAAATCTCGTAGTCAGAGTCGTTTTATAGTGATGTAACTTAAAATATCAAAGTAACATCTTTTGAAATATGGGTTTAGCGCTAAATATTTTAAGAATGTTGAAAGGTTTTGTTTTAGATCGTTTTTCTTTTATTTCCTAGTCTTTCTATTGATAAATTCATTTTAGAAATGAATAAAATCATTTTGGTTGCATATGTAATCGCATGTTGTGATTTAAACCATTAGAACAGGGCTATTCAACTAAATTGCACCGGGGGCCACAGTTATTGCAGATCAACAGCTCAGAGGCCCAACATCCAGCAATTAAAGTTATTATGTAAATAAACCAAGTATTACAAAGACCTGTTACCTTTGAAATAGTTTATTTTGCTGCATTTAATCATGAATATACAGAACCCTATGTGATAAAAGTAGTGATAATTAAACAATATCAAAACCAAGAAATAGCAAATTTTGCCTCAGATTTGACACAAATATTATTTTAACATCTCTGACTTGCCAAATGTTTTAACCAATTTATTTTCACTTTCATTGTTTTATATTCAACTGCTTGCAGTTTTAACTGTCTTCAATGTGCATAGAAGTGTTTTTACTAGCTTGTAGGCAAGATTTTGATGTTTCTGTAGATACCAAACATGTCTATGTTTAACTAAAATAACTTGGAGTAATTAAAGTAGAAATCCAGGGGTTTGGGCTTAAGAGATGAATAAACCAACTGGCGGGCCGAACTTTGGTCACTAGCGGGCCGGATGTGGCCCACGGGCCACCAATTRAATAGCCCTGCATTAGAAGAATCAAACCATTATAAAAATAATTCTGGTTTTCTTGAGTATAACTGATCATTACTGTAAGAGAGAAGCMCTGAAAAAAATTAAAAACTATTTTGAACATGATGAAAAATCTGCTGCAGTATTGATTTATCATTTGGAGYGCGAAGACAGAGCTGTTTTCATCGTTAAGCATATTTTTTTGAGTTGATGTGCAATCCCAGGTTTCCTCACTTCTGAGCAGATACCAGATGGCAATCAATTTGAAAACATCTAATCCTCAATCCATCCTCTCACTGCACACCCCTCTGCTATCTGTCACTACCTATCTTTTTACATTTGACCACAATCTCTCATTCTTTTTTTTTTTTACTTTTCGCTCTGCCTTTCCCTCTCATTTATCTTAAATCTCTCTCGAGGTTTTGCTCTCTAATGTCAGTCCATCAACCCTTCGGTTTCACCTCCTGTTCCCAGGCTTTTCCTCCACATTTTGCATTTCTCTCCAGTCTCTCACTTTTTTAGTATATCTCCCCTCTCTCGCTCCGTATCATTCACTCTTTCACAGTTGACCAAACACATTTTCTATGCCTTCATCTGTTTTTTTTTTCTTTTCTCCATCCATAATCTCTTCTTTTATCTCAATCCCTCACTTTTTTACAGCTGGCTACATTTTTCCTTTTTTTTTCTCTTTCAACCTCTAATCTCTCTCCCCTTATCTTCATCTTTCTCTTGTTCACAGTGGAAACTCCTGCGCTCAGCGAGGAGATGGCTTCATGGTCCAACAAACAGTTYGGATGCAGATCCAGGTGGATCTCAATGGCATCTACGTATCCTGCATCACCTYGCAGAAACGGAGCAAGTCAAAGCTCCTGCCAGAGCAGAAGATGTGGTTTGAAAACACAATGTATAAAYTTGCCAAATGAATAAAACTCTCAAAGAATTTTTATCGTGAAGCAAACGCTTTATTGAATTGTTCAAAATGAACAAGGTTTGTTTGCTAAACTGTTGCAGGGATTGTAAGGTAATCAATCGCTGATACCCATTGATTATTTCTAGAGAATTTTGATCAAATACACCCAATATTTCACAAGATATTTTGCTWACAAAGACACAAAGTAAACTATCMTTTTACTTTTGAKWATTAGTTATTGCAACTARTATGCATTTCAGTACCWTYCAATGCTCCAACTTAACTGACCTTTTTGTCAAACATCTAAATGAATCAGCAGATTAAAATACCACGGTGGTAATTAACAATTGGTTCACCTAATTATTATGTAAAAATAAAACTGCTGAGATGCTGACCACATACAACTGATTGTGAATCAGTAAATGAAGCATTGTACAAAAGCTGCCACCAAAAATAAATGGAAACTTCAGCTCAGCTCTGCAAACTCTGCAGTGCCATGTGTTTGCTTGAGTTTGCTGATTTATTCTAAACTGAGTTGATTCCAAAGTTTTCCAAGAATTAAGCAGTAATTTTAGAGTATATTGCTCATTAAGAAAAACTAAAACATTTGGTATGTTAATAATAGGGTTGGGCGTATCAGTTCAAGTATCAATACCAAGAAAAATATCTGTATCAGATCAATACAAGACTAAAGAGATTGACTCTTGTTTACAGTTTTTGCACCACCGACATTAGAACAGAGTCTTTAAAATGTTTGGATTTAGTCATTACATCAGGCCTGTGTGCAATGGAAGSTATTTGTTGTTGTGTTGTTGACATTGTTAAGTGTGTATTTGGTTACGTTGTTGCTTCTTTTTTGTTATTTTGCACTAGCGACATTTTTCTTTTAAAAAATCATTTAGTAGAAGGTAATAGGGGAGTTGTTTACTTTTATATAGTTAAGTTTTATTTTGCTGTAGTTAGTTAATACAAAAGATTTTTATTTTCCCAAAATCTTTGTCCTGTCTTTTATCATAATTGTCCAACTAAAGACAAAATCACAATATTAATCAAAGTAGAAGGTAATAGGGGAGTTGTTTACTTTTATATAGTTAAGTTTTATTTTGCTGTAGTTAGTTAATACAAAAGAGTTTTATTTGCCTAAAATCTTTGTCCTGTGTTTTATCATAACTGACTAACGAAAGACAAAATTATTSAATGAACATGCGTGTCCGGATCGGATTCGGTGTATTTACATGGCATCGATATCTAAATGTCCAATATCGCCAACCCAAGTTAATATAACTTGACTTTTAATTAACAAAAAAAGACTAATTTTACTTATTAAAAAGATACAGGCGATATAAAGTTGTGTTTGKGAAGAGAGAGATCTGTCTGTTGAACAACTGAGTTTTTCAGACACAAAKCCTTTGTGAAGCAGCCAGTTCTGTGCACCTGCTCTGTTTAAAGCGCCGCTGTTCATCCTTCAAACAGTGAAGCTTAACTTAGCTTTAAATTTTAAACTGACCAGCTGGCAGTCAGACAACCAACAGGAGGCTTTAACACAAAAGCCTTAACCACTGTTTCCATTACAGGCAGAGATAAGGGGTGTGTGTGTAATTCTGATGGGGGAAGGGAAGAAGACAAGAATGCAAACATCAGGTGTGAAGGGAATTAATGCTCTAAGTAACAGACACTTAACTCTTACCCCTTTTTGTAGTCTGAGTGATTTTGATTTGCAGCCTGTTTCGTTTTACTCACACACAAATGGTGCTGCACCTTAAAGACAATGAGGGAACTTATGATAGACAAATAACTATTAAAAGTTTAAGTTAAACAACTGACAAATCAGGTGATCCCCAAGAGATCAACGGAAGGAAACTCTGAAGTGAACCCGCTGGTAAACCATGAAATACTCTCACAGAACTTGATTTAAGATGTCTGACACGTTGGGTTACCGACGGGTCAGTTGTGGTTTTCTTGCTCACCTTGACCCCCCGGTTTGAGTTCGTCTTGTTTTTGTTTTCATGACCTCTGTCCTCTTCTCTCTATCTGGCACGACAACCCTGACAAAGAACTGCAGTTTCCTCTCTCTGCGTTATCTGTCTGACACCGTGAAATTTCCTCTTTCTACTTTTGCTTTCACTCCATTGGGCACCGCGTCCACATCTTTCTCTCCC